ACTTATATACAAGAATCAACAGTCAAATTGCAAATGCCTCGCACATGTAACATCTCCACTGGGCCAAAATGCACCGATATCAATACTTCATATGTTACTTGGTTCCTCGAAAATTCTCCTCTTGGACTTAGCCTAAAAGTGTGGACACTTTTCAGCCTCCGGCGAAACCTAGAGTCTATACGGCTTCGCCGCACGACTAAAAAAAGATGTATTTTGTAACTCGAGTTACTCAATATAGAGGTTCAACTTTGGTTTCTAAAGGTAGCTCATTCCATCAACAAAACCAGATATTTAAAGTTGGAGACAAGATTTTGCAGGATATAACATTCTGATTTATACAAACTGAAGGACCCGCTAGGCAAGGCGCAGTGAAAACACCATGGGAGACTGACTTGAAGAGAATAAGAAAATGTAAAATTAGATGTAGAAATCAACTACTTGCTAAGATTGCATTGAGCAAAGATAATATTGATATGACAGGTACCTTCGGAGACAGGGAGCACTTTCAAAATTTTTTCGTACTGCAAAGGTAAATTTGGCAACGGTTGTATCTTGGCCGACTCAGGAACTTCATAGGTCTGCGCTGATCGAATAACGGTGAGATCAGATGATTTATCAGTGATATTTGTTTCCACTCGCCATATAGCAGGACTGGGCTCATCTGAGCAGGCAACGATCTGAAACAAGGTCTTAGAGGTTAAGAATCAAGGCCTTAAGGAGGTCTGAAACACTTGAGTGGTACGTTTTACCATATGAGTTGGATGATTTTGAAACTTTGCCCATACTATGGTAACATTTTGAAAAGTTTCGTCTTGAGGGTTATGACCCCTCTGGTTCTCAGAGCTATCTTTGATGCTATTTTTCAGGGCTTAAAATAGATAAATGTAGACATATGATTTGTGCTAAAAAATTCTAAATGCAGTCACCAAAAGACTGGGGCATTGAATTAATTTTGAACTAGTTCTTTGATTGAGATTAATTTAAGTAATATTTTTTTCTTTTTTTCATTTTAAAGAGTCAAATTTTTTACAATGATATTGTTACTATGTAGATTGTCTGTCTGTAGGTTGTAGCAAACAATTAAACAACACACATGCTCAGGTTTTTTCCCCTTGAGATTTTCTATTTTTGTATACTAGGATGAGCTTTTTGACCGCTAAAGATCCTTAAAAAAGTCGTACTGTGGCTCATAAAGAATTTAATTATGTTTTTCAGGAGCAAACTAAGAAAAAGTTAAGATTATTTGAAAAATAAATACACAAACATACTTTCGCAGACTTTTGACTATTGAACATACTTACAACTCTTCAGCCCTATACATTACATCTTTATTGGACTCATTTCTTTGTTATTCGATCTTCTTTTTATCAATCTAATTAAACCTGGGCTACCAGATTTTTTTGAACTTTCTTGTACTTTCAAGCTAAATTTGAGCTACTTACTCTTTGAGATATAAAAGAACAAATTACACTTTCAAAATTAGATGGAAATCTGCTAAAATTTGAAGGAACAAAATAAATAACACCTAAAATTAGAGTGTCATGACTATAATATTCCCTTTTCCAAATCTTTTTTGACAAGTTGATCCATTGATTTGAGAAGTACAAGAAAGTAGGTGAGTCAGAGAGGGAACGCAAATACAAAACAAATACAACACAAAAATTCCAAAACATTTTGGGAACCTCAAAAATTCTGGGGAAAGTTCCAAAATTCGGCATTGACTCCTGGGAATGAGGTGCTACAAAGCTTCCCATGCGTTTTAATTGGGAAACTTCAGTACTAGTTGCAATATTTTTGGGGGCAACTAGGAAAGAAAAAGTAAAAATAATATGTTCCCTTCAGCTTTGATGCTGCATTTGCAGACTCAGTTCCCAGAAAAAGAAGAAAGAAAGAAAACAAAATTAATGATGATCCGTTACTGAAAAAAGAGACTTACTTTAAAATATGAGTTGATATCCTGAGACCAAGCAACTGCCGTTACTTCTCCAACATGATCTGGTAAAGTAACGATAGGCCACGGAGAGGTGTCGACCCTCCAAATATAGGCGGAGGAATCCTTCGAACCTGAGAGTAAATAATGCCCATCAGGGCTCAAGGTAATCTTGACATAGTAAGAGCTGCCTTCATGTCCCGTATAAGAATACACTGAAAGTATAAAGACAATAGAAATAACAAACAAATCGAATATATCTGGAAATGTAAGTGCGTACGGTCTGGAATTTGATACATTGTACGGTCCAACCTGTAAATAGATGAGTTTTGATCTCTGTAAACTGAAAAATTACGCAGTTCAGCAGTTGCAAAAGAATAATCGGACGTTTGAATTGGAGAGCGCCTACACTTTACACATCCGGACTACATTCTGCAGTGAGGAATTATACACAGGTTTACATACATATAACATATTTTCTAATTTTAAAATTAAAATAAAATATATTATAATAGTATTAATATAATATGTTATAATATTATTGATATTATATAAAATTGCTAGTCATAAATCTATCTCAGTTGCTGTTGCCTGATTATTTTAAATACATATCTAGAGAGAAACTGCAAAAATGCAAACCTTGAGTGCGGTGTTTCAAAAGTTCTGTTTCCATTCTTTGTTATCAAAGGCGAATGAACCAACTATATTATTTGAAATTTTCACAGAATATTCTTCACACAGAGGGAAAATCAGGGAAGTTTTCAGTGATAAGAACTGTGAACTTACTTGGCTCTTGGTCATAAGTGGATATGTTGTAACAATAGATATGACTGTCATAGCAACTGGCATACAAGCATATTCCTGTTGGGCTTACTGCTAGACTTGTAAAACCTTTGAGACTATTGTTTCCAGGATGCTTTAAGGTTTCATACGGTTGCGGTGGCTTCAAACCTGGACCCCTCCTGCGAATGTTCCTCAAGTCCCAGATTTTGATGAGCCTGTGGAAAATGATATAGAAAATCTGGTTGAAACATATTCTTCCCTAAACTAGAACTAAAGCAACGAACAAGCCGCTGTAAATGTCGTAAAATTCTGTTGAGTTGTTATCACTAAAACAAGTGAATGATACTCTTTGTAGCTTCTTGCTTTTTGTGGGTAAAAAAACAAACTAATACACTCAGACTTATTTCACACTATCAAGGTTGCCATGTTGTGCAATAAAATCTAGATATTTTACACCGGTTTAAAAGGGAGAATGTGTTGGTTTTTCAGCAGTATCTGAATGCTCAGCATGCTAATGAGTGTTTTCCATTGATTGCTCATATTCACATTTTTCAACCATGTGTTGCACAGTGGACCATCAAGCAGAAAGGGACCAAGCCACATAAACCATTCCCGAATTCCATTGGGGAATTTATTTCTTTACAGGGGAATGGTTGTAGAGATTCTTTCGAAAATTTCAGAGAATCGCTTCCTGCCGCAGAGGAAATCCCCTAAAATTTCCAAAAGAATCTACATTACTATCGTTTTCCCATAAAAAAATTAATCGACGATCAACTGATTAATTTATGCAATTTGGCACTGACTGATGTACCTTGGTTCCTGTCTGCTTGATGCAGTTCAATTGTGCTCTTGAAAAATTTGCCTGCATGCACTAAGACTTAAGTTCATATTCATGAGGAAGGTCACTTACTGCTGATGACAATAATGCAACGTGCAATGTTAAAACGGACTGAGTGTAATAGCAATGCACTTAGTCGAATTTTCGAAAAAATTAGTTGAGATTAGTACTTATTCAACTGGTCATTAATTTTCTCCTATCAAAAATGGAAATTCAAAACAAACATTTTGTAAAAAGTCCATTTGCAAGCTGAGCCTCTTTACTAAAGGAAAAGATTGGAGAAGACAGTTAGACTACGCTCGTTTTCATTTCTCCTCTGATACACCCCTGTCAGTCCTATTTCATACTGTAAGGCTTAAAGCTGAGTAATGAGCTAATGGTAGGCTTATCGACAACTCTGGCAATTGCTTTAAAGCGCAGAATTTTGGAGCACGGCTGTGCAACCACCGAGTTTGACTATGCTGTTTCAGTCTCCTACTGATAGGTGACACTAGCAGTCACACACAATATGAGTGATCCTCAATTTAATCATGACACAGTTGAACAAAGCAGACTGACGACTACCGGATAGCCATGACTATGTCCCTACCCGACACTGTCGCCTCAAAGGGGCAAACAAGGCATTCAAATGGTAGTGTCAATCACAGCCACTGTGATAGAATTTTAAGAGACCTTATGAACCTGTCATCACCTGGGATCAAACTCAGAACCTCAATGCTGGCCTAAAACGGCATATCACAACTTAAAACAGGTTTGGTTTTTCTTCTTTTTTTTTTTTCTTTCACTAAATCATCTAACGGTCTAACCAAGGAGACAAAGTTTAAATAAAATAATGCTCACCCATCTCCGTCTGCACAAGAAATAAGATGATGCTCATCCTGATAACAAACATTAGTTATACTTTCAGCGCGAGGAGGCAATACATTGTTCTGTCTTTTCCGTTTCATAGGTCCTGCAAGTGAACAGAAACCAAAATGCTTAATAAGCATTCATGAAATCCAAGCGTTTCATGGGAAATATAAAAATTCGGATTACTATTCTAGAAAACTGAACTCCAACCCACAGAACATAAGAGAGAAGCGGTATTTTGGGTGGTCTGCAACAGAAGAGCGTGCCTTTGTTCCACTTATGTTGCTGATGTGTACGAGCCTGCACGCAATTTACATTTGCCTGGCCGTCACATTAACAGCATCCAATGCAGTAAAACATACAAAATACTGGACCTGGTGTTTTCCAAATCCGCATGAATATCTTTATTTGGACTGCATTTAATAGAATGAAAAAAGCTTTTTAGAAAACAGGGGATCTGCTCATTATTTGGTGATTTTGGTAATTTCAAACTGGTTTTTATCCATTCTGACCATCACTAACTAGTGAGTGGACAGTTTGTTTCTTGAAAAATTGCATATTTTTCAAAAACATTCAGTTCACTCATTTTGCTCTTGGTTGCAATCACCAAAAAATTTTAAGGTGAAAAAAAAATTCTCACCTATGGACCCATGAGCCTGAGGGATTTCACCTGAACACTCGATCGAAAGGCCATCAGCATGTGCTGGATTTTCTCGTATGTCACAAACATATATGTTGCCGTCGCGGCCTCCAACAGCAAACACATCTATAATCAGAAACTTTGTGAAAGAATCAAAATTGAAATGGGATTTTCCTGGCTAAAATGTACGTACCTACTTTTACTCATGGAAATCAAGTACAAAATTTATTTCACAAAATTGTGAAAACCCAATACAGGAAGGATGGATTTTTCTTTGCATTTCTGTGATAATGTCTATACATCTTTGCATCCTGTTCTCCCAAATAGTGCAAGTAAAATGAAATCCAAGATCAGACATTGTTTTTAGACTGGCACTACTATAAGAATCAGGCACCTTTTTACCGATAAATGTTTGTTAAGGATTTAAGATTATAAAACTCTGGAAAAGGAATGGTTTATATTTCATTCTGCAATTCCAACATTTTAAATAAATTTTGCTTCTCACAACAATAACTGAGAGATGATCAGTGAAAAAAGAGTGTCTTTTGAGATACTGCCGCAAGGCGGATTATTTTTTAACTTGATTTTTGAACAATGGACAAAAAAAAATAATGTGAACAGGAATACATTATTTTCACACCTCCTGCACAGTTACGTAAACTGTCACCTTTATTCATTGACTGTAGAACAAATTCTTTATTTGTTGTGTATTTTGTTGCGTAATTTGGTGTCTCAGATGTACTGAGTAATCTTACTGCTGAACCAAAATTTACAGTCAGGTCTCCTTAAATAAAGAAAGTATCAAGAAGGGAAAATAGGAGAACTTTTTTAAAAGGCCCGGGGTGGAATGGGTCAGTGAGTAAAAGAAATTTGTTCCAAAAAAAGACCACTTAAATCAGGGCCCAAACTCTAATAGGCAGGATGGTGACAAGACACTGCGCCGACGCTACTCTGAGGGAAATGAAAAGTAAGTAGGTTCAACTAAGAATTTAAAATTTAAAAAAAATTGTTGCAATGTCACTTACTATCGCTTTCAGGTTCGAACGAGACGGTTTTGATTGATTTTTTACAGTTGTTAAAAACAGCTATGCACTCCTGCGTTCTCACATCCCATAAGTGAATAGCATGATCACCAGATGCACTTAAAAGTCTATAACTAGTGGCTGACCAGGCAAGATCGAAGATAGCATTGTAGTGGGCAACAAAACCTGGAGACAGTTAAATACCAAGTCAAACAAATAAGAAGAATTACGTATTTGCATGCATAATACAAACCTAAGCTTCCCTCCTTAACTTAATGCCTGACTTTCCCTTTCCCGCCTGTTTTAAATAGTAAGGACGTTGCTTTTGAATGCACTTGCCCATTCAAACCCTTTAAAAAAGTGATGCCATTAGTCCTATGCACAGGGCAAAATTTTAGACAAGTCCTAAGAAGATTTTTATAAAAATACTTCTGATTAATTATACCAAGAGATTCAAAAAGCTTGCTCGCTTTGACAGAAGCATCCAATGATACAGTTGGTTTTGGTTCAATCAAACTTTCTATCGACCAATTTCAAGAAGAGCAGAACTGACAATTGAATTATTCAGCATTATTCTAGTTGTTTTCTCGTAGAGATAGAGCACTGTTGCTGGGTCAGAAATGTGAAACCATTTGTTCTGAAGCAGTTGGCACAAAGAACTGACGTGCTGTCTTATTTTACTTGCAGTGCGCAGCGGAGAGGAATCTTGGGCCTCCTGTGGTTAAGTGGTTGCAGTGTTAGCCCTAAGCCCAGGAGGTCCTGGGTTTGATTTCTGGCCTTTTTAATTCTGGTTTCTTTGGATTCTTGGTCTTTCCTGGCAGAATACCTGAGTTTGATGATCTCAGGCAATAGTTACCTAGAGCTAGGGCTGGGGCATTTGGGGTGAAAAGCTACACTGAGGATAGAATTTTCATTCACAATCTAGTAAAAATTTTGGTGATCTGGAGAACCTCTTTCTTTTTTCCCCTTTTAATTTCTATGAGCTACTTGAAAATTGATAGAAATAAAGAAAAAAGTTCTCCAAATCACCAAAATTTTTACCAAGTTGTGAATACAAATTCTTTATCACTTCTCTTGAAATTGACGAAAAAAAAGTTTTATTTTTCAGGCTGAATGAGTTTAGAGGGTTGTGAAGAACACCAAAAATAATTGCATTCACCCTTACGCTCTTCTCTTGAGCCTTTTCATAGAACACATATTGATTAATCTTTCATCTTTTCAGGGAGAATAGGAAAGAAATGGTGTGAATACACATTTCAACTTGTCAAATACATACATTTGACTGGTTAAATTGAATGGTGAATGTTCACGCTCAGTGACTTTTATTCCATTTCAAATCGTTCAGAAATAGATAACTGCAAAGTAATTTGGACACTGCTCCCTCAGTTGAAAACAAGACCAGTATTTTATCAAAATTGGTTAAAACTTGATATCTTTTTGATGTTGGTGAAAAATCACTTTAAATGAAAACGCTTCAAACGAATCAAACATTGACTGTCCTATGGATTATTCTATTTCTTATACTCACTAGCAATCACTTCATCACAATTCCTGTTTCTCCGGCTGTTGAAATTTTCTTCACTTTTCGTATTGAGGATGAATACTTTTCCCTCTTCATCTGCATAGGCAAGAATATCTGTGAGTCCAGGTGTGGGGCAAAACTTGCAACAAAATATTGGAGCCGTTTGCAAAGGTGGTTCAGATCTGCACTGTATCAGTCCTAGTCGTTTGATAGCCAAATCATAATTCCATGAGTCTCCTGGAAGCAGATGGCAAAATTTTAGCAATAATTAGACATTATTAGATTATTAATAATCAATACATTAATTATTAATTACATCATTTCAATATGATTTAATTATTTTGAATTAAAGGAGAAAGAGAGACAATGAGACATGATAATTCTCCTTCAAAGAATTTCCATTTCTGAAGTCTACTAGCATAAAGTATAATTACAAGATACATCACTATACTGCCGTGCTAAGTAAAAACGCTGTATGTGACATCAGAAGTTACAAAATTACCTTCAATAAATCATGAAATTTCAGGAAAATTTGATAATATTTCTCTTTCGATTTTTCACAGGACATAGTTTGCAATTGGATCTAAAAAGTCTGGAAATTTCAAGGAGAATCATTCGAAAATTTCTTCAAAAATAAATATTTATAAAGAAGAAAATTGGCAACATTCAAATACTTATATGGCATATTTACTTAGCACGGCACAAGACCGAACTGGTTCGCCCCATTAGTCTTAGTGCGAGGAAGAAACACGTGTGCATGCTTCAGAGCGCCTTCACCATGTTTGCTCGGCAACTTTACTTGCTTAATTGCAAGTTTTGTTAATCGTAAGATAGATTAGCACCTACATTAGAATTTGTCAAAATCATGGAATTTTTTCCTCCGTATCTATACTATGAGCTCCGAGACCTCCTAAAGTTGCATATCTGGTAACGCTTAGTTTTAGCATTCTACCGGGCCGATTTGAAAGATTTTTGCGGCTATCGACAGGCAATTGTCTCTATATGAGCCCAATTTATTTAGATTTTGAAAATATGACCCAGGTTTTTTTATATTAAGTGGTAAAGTTGCGAATTCTCCCATTTAACGATGTGAATTTTTATTTTTTGTCATACTGGGCCAATTTCCATGATTTTTGCGGTTGTCGACAGGTGATAGTCCCTAGATGAGCCCGCTCTAATCACATTTTGGAAATATGACTTAGATTTTCTTGTATTAGAGTACACCTGGGAGCTTAGAAAGGGGGGCAAAATTTGAACTTCCTGCCATTTTTCATTGACGGGAATTTTAAGTTTTGTGGAAAATTGAACTAAGCGAGAAATTGTGAATCTTGGTCTGTTTGTACGGTAAGGTAAGTGAATCGAAGGTATGCTCCTTTCCTACAGACTATCCAAAAGTGACGAAACGCTCCGTTCCGTTTCAGTCTTGGTCTGAAGTTTTAAATAAATGCCAGTTTTTTTAATCGATTCTTATTGGTCCAATCGCTCCTGGCCAGAGGAAGATTGGACAAATAAGAGTCAGGTAGGAAAGAACAGGTTCTACAAAAACAGAACTTATAGTAGAGCGATTTATATAGAATAGGGTTAAAAAAACAGATTTCGAGATTCTCTCCCCATTCCTAAAGAATAAGCTGCGAATGGAGCAATCAACTTTACCATGGGGAAGGCAAAAATCCAAATCTGCAGTAAGCAGTTTATAACTAAGCAGATTTTAGACCTGAACGAGACATATTAGAATTTCAGCTCTCCTTCAAAACAACATTTCTTGCGAAAGAGGGATCCTCACTCCATCATCTCTCTCCAGCACGGTGTCTAAAATTGTTGACCATTTTTAAATCCAAACCCGATTTTTAAATGTTCGTACTAACTGTGCAATGAAAACCCTTCATTACTCTGACAGTTCAAAGATTCAATAGGTTTGATGGCGGCTCAGGTGCAACAAGATAAAACTGAGAATGGTCTCCAAGCGGTAGAAGTGATTTCCAGTTTTCCAACAGATTCCCTGATAAATCCTGGTCTTCCAAGTCCCAGCCACTCTACCCGGTAGTTAGCTCTGTGCTAGAGGATGTGTACAGAGCCATAGTGGGAAGTATAAAGAATAAATGAAACCAAAACATGAAGCAGTACAACTGACATTACAAGCATGAGCATGAGGACGAGTTTGAAAAAGGGCTGAGTACTGACTGTGAGCTGGCAGCTTGCTAATAATGGGGGCATAGATTTGTAGCTTCTACTCACGAAAACATTCCCAGAAAAACCGATTACGGAAAGGTAGTGAAACGATTGAAAAAATGAAACTTACTAAATCCTTCAGTTCGCTTGAGCAGTTTAGAAACAAGCATGGTCCAAAGAGCGAACAAACATTAGTAGTCACGAATCTGAATGAACATATAAGGAGAGAGGTCAAATAGTAAATACAAAGATTCTTCCGAATCAGAGACTTTTTACGTGAAAGAAGTTGAATATTTCAAAATGAGTAAATTTGATAAAAACAATACAAAACAGAAAACACAAAAATCACCCCGCCAATATCCGGTATCAATCAAATGATGATGTTGTTGTTTGTTGATATAAATAAATGCTGATTACTTCACTACTGACCTCTGTGCGAGATTTTTCAAAACTACATGCTTCATTCAACTTTTACCAGAGAGCGTTCGAGAGCGTTATTCTGGCAACTCATTTTACCTGCAACAACAATTGCTGTACGTCATATTGAAGGCGCATTAGAAATTGGCTGTTCGGCTGTAGCTGTACCAACTTATTGAAGTACCTACTCTTCGCCTCGCACTTACCTCAGGGTTCAGCACTTGTGCTGACAATGAGTTTTCTATGAAAAAAGCAACAAATCACAGTACATTTTTCATATAATTTTCGCACTGAAAAATTATGAAGTCTTAATCTAAATTGGAAAATGTAGATGCAAGTAGAAAACTGAGTAAAATAAATAGACGTAGGCACTGATTTTCCGGGCTTTATGATGAAATTTTTTGAGATTCGGTGCAGATTTTTGGAAATTTGACCTGGATACCCTGTTTTACATTAGGCTGAGCAAATGATGCATGGGTGCTTTTTGGATGGGTCACAATGGTATCGGATATAAATCATGCAGCTATTTGACACTACACTGCTACTTCCAGTTGTTTCCAATTTGTTCTCACCTCGGAAAGGTGCACTCAAAAAGAGAAAACTTCTCAAGTCACATGGGTGGGTGGATAAGTTGGAGCTGAGTAGTTCTTTCTTGGGGGAATTTTAAAGATTCCTCGCTTTCTGGCTAATCTGTAAAAATACTTACATGCATAGAGAAACAAATGATACATACGTTGTTTCTAAACTGAGCCAGAAATTGTAGCTCCTAATTGCAAAATGTAGTCCAATTGATGGAGTTCACGCGGCGCCAAACATCTCCTTCAGCTGCAGCCATTTTTCTTACTCACTTACTTACTGCGGTATACAATAGAAAAAATGACCACCATCGTGCGCCATTTTGTTCATTTGAGTTCTAAATGCTTCAAGTATGAAGAATGAACATAATCGTCCCCTCTTCAATAGAAATTTTGTAAAAAAATCTTGAACTGAGGAGCTTGGAGGACAAGGCGCATGAGTGCAGTTTTGACTATTTAGAGAAATGAGTGTTTTTTCGACATAAAATGGATCCTTACCTTAAGTATGGTGGAGCGAAAGTTCTGACTTTTTAATGCTTGAAAATAGGAAGAAAATGTTCCGCAGAATATGCATCAAGACTAGTTTGAAATCATAAATAGGTAACTCAATTTTTTCACAAACTGCACTTGTGTGCCTTGTCCTCCAAGCCCCTCAGTTGAGTTGCAGCGTTCTTGCTTTGGATGGCAGAGCTTATATTTGTCATTGCTGCCAAATTTGTAGCTCCATTTAAGTCCTAACTTCACTCAAAATTTTAGGAGTATTTGGACAAGAGGCCCAATTTATGAGAGGCATCTACACTTGTTCAACAGCCTCACAGATTTTATATTATCTAACAGGCATTTTTACAGGAGCAAGTTTGGAACAGTCAATGCTGTGCAATTTTTCAGGCACCTGTCTCTAATTTTTCGGGCATATTGCTCCTGTTGAAGTTATTCATGTATGATATTCATACAATTTGCAAAGCCGCAATGGCAAAAATCTCAATACTCACACACTCCCTCTTACCTTTTATTACTTCATGAACGGAAATAGCAATTCTTAATTTATAGATTTTGGGTTACTTTTTCCCACAATTTAAACTCATCATTTTTGTGCCAAAATAATGGTTTTCTTTTTTCCTCTCTCTCCCTGCTACCAATAAAAAAACTGGAAACAAAAATTTTGGAGCATCTCGACAAAGATTTTAATTTTTCTGGTTAACTACTGGGTTCATTTTCAAGTCAAAAATAAAAGGTTGCGACCATGCAAAAGACATGTTAGTTGATAACCTGTACAGATTTTAATCATATTTTAGTCACAGAACCAACATGCAGTTTGGTGTTAACGTAATGTAAGAAAAGGCCCAAAGTTTTCTTAATTTCTTAATCTTCAAATTCTCTGCCTTTCTTGGCTTTCGCCAGACTCCAAATAGGCAAGTTTCTTGATCTTCAAACAACACCAACAAAACTATGACAATTCAATGATGAAATTTTGTTTTTAATCAAATATTTCTTCTTTCCAGTATTGCGTTCTGTTTTACCCAATCGACGTTTGCAATGAAGATAAAGTTTTGAAATGAAGGAACTCTTTAATGTATTTACAGACTGATTATATTTCTAAAGTTAAAGAGATAAAATACAAAATACAAAAAAAGTAAGATTGAAAAAAGTGGAGTGTAAGGTTCATTGTTTTTCCAAGGTATCAGGAACTAGACAGTAATATACAAGGATGAGAATGAGAGATACTTTGCATACAAAAAGAGAAAAAAAAGGACTACTTAAATTTGTTGAAATAAGGACTCGCACTTGTAGCCAAAATCAATTAGATCAAATAAATTGGACCGAAGAAACCAGGAGAATTCTTCAGCAATAACTAATTTCAATAAACATGATTCCTTACGGATACTGCAGACAACAGATAGGCTTACACATAAAATATAAATAAAAGGAATGAGTGTAAAAAAAAATTTCAAAAAAAAAAAAAATTGTGGTAGGTGATAGACAATAATTTTTAGTGTAGACATGTGCCACCGGTTTGTTCCTGATAGACCTCAATGATGTCATCATTCTCCATTTCAAGCTGCAACACACAGAATTTATTCACTATGAAATGAAAAATCCTGTACAAATGTACATATGGGCAACTGAACAGACTTAGGCTTTCTAAAATGCCATGAAAATTTCAAGTAGTTGCGCTTTCAGATCTTCCCAAAAGAGCTATAAAAAAGTTACAGATTGAGTAATAAGTTTACTTTCCTTAGATTCAAAACAAACCCTCTTCTTCATACCATGGCAAACAGAAAGAGGAAAATTCTGTTTTCGGTGGGTGAATATCTTCACTCTCTTTGCAGAGCAAAATATACAACTTTCTTTTTCTTGAAAATCAAAAGCCACAGTGATCTGGTTCCCGGTCTACATAAAGGAAACGAGGTGGGTGCTGGTGCAAATCTTATCCAATCATGCAATTTGAAGATCGTCTAGTTGCTGAGGAAATTTTTATTTGAAATAGTACAAAAAAAGTGTTTGGAAATGATCTTGATGATTCATGGATCTTAATAAAAGAAGCTTCAAGATCCCTAACAGCTACTGCGCAACATTCTAGCTTTGTTAATCAGGGAGAAAGGAATCACCAATAATTAGAGACTTAGGAGAAAAAAAAATTGAAAAATGATGGAAAAAAGTCTTCTGACAAGCCCTCCAAAAAAAAAGAGGGACATGATGTTTACTTCCATTTATCCCCTTAATCAGGACTAATGTAGGAAATCGAATGAGACAACTGTGTAATCCACCATAATAGCCTTTTCTATTTTATGATTTCAAGAGTTGAAAAATGAAATGTACCTGTTTAGGAGTTTCATCATCGTGAATTCTTCTTCCTTCGTACAGAAATCTGAGAGAGGTTACTGGGACACCCTGAAGAATAGAGAAACAATATACCTTGCTTTAATAGACGTGATACCAATTTTGAGACCCAACAGTCAAGAATCTTGAACATTCTTGGGATAAAGCACTCAGTCAATAACTAAAACGGTATCTCAGGACTACTATGCTGAGGAAAAACGCTGTAAGACGATTCTGATGTTTCCAAAGATCTTTTCAGAAAATATTTATTTTTAAAGAAAGTTATGAATATTTCTCCTTTAATATTTCAGAAACTTTACATCAAATCTTACATCAAAATAGACAAAATTCTCGAAAAATCGGAAGAGAAATAGTTACAAAGTTTCCCCAAAATTTGTGATTTGTCAAAGGAACTTTTGGCAAAGTTAGATCATTTTTCGGCGTTCTTTCCTAGAGTCCCTTTATCAAGAGAGTTGAGACAAAGTGGCTCATGGATGTCGCTAACGGATATAAAGATTACACTCAATTGAGCATTTTTCGTAATCTTTGATCAACTCATTCCCAAATTCTTGTCTCTATTTCTTCTTCCATTTCGTTTGTTCCTTGCCGTGCTCCCAATTTCCCGGTCCATTTCAGTTTTTAATCTTTGCAAACAGTGAAAATGTAATCTTTATTCCTGTTTGTGACACCGTGGAGGCCTAAAATACAGGAACCAATCAGAAATGGATTTGTATTGTCTTAACTCTCAGTATAGAGGGACTCTAATCTTCCCTAGCATGGCAGAGAAGCTGAATTCCAGAATCTTCTTGCACATGAGGATACACTAAAAATTCAACCGATCCTAAACCAACCCAGTGAAAAATCATAGGTGCAGAGAGTTTGGGATTGCTGTACTGGTCCGTCCCACAAGAGGGTTCTGGATGGACTGAAATCTACGAGAATGCGAGTCTTCGACACAAATCCAGGTTTTAGTTAATTTTCACAGAAAGGACAATTCTGCATTCCTATGAAAGATGATAAATATTTTCATATTCTCTATATTCTTCTTATTATTCAATTCTAACTGGACACACGCTCAGAATATCTTTGTGTACAAACAACATAAAAAACTCTACAAATGAATTATACTTGAAATTATTAAGCAAGAAAAGTTCCCTTCATCCAGAGAAATATAATCAGCTATCTCAGTATCGCACATGACTTAATCACATCACACAACAGAATCCCATTAAAAAATCAGGTTTCATGGACTTGACAGGTAGTGCCTCTCACACGAGTCTTAACTCAAAGCTTGTCAGTTGCAGCAGTGGGACCTTGCTTTTTTCGGTTATTAGCAGTAATTCACTCAAGACTGAAAGGAAGAGTGTTGTTAGAACCTACCTCCTCATTTCATTATCGATTTGAAGATTGATTCACTGGACATTTTCTGAGTTTGTGCTCCCCCCCCCCCCCNCATTGATGACTAGAGGATTAAGATCCTACAGCAATATTAAGGTTCTAACTGTAAAACCTCTAATCTTACATGCTTTGAAACATTACACTTTGTATAATTAATTATTGAACAATTTCCATTTGTAGGACCCTACCTACCCAGTCATGTTTTTATCTTTTACTTCGATATTAACACCCATGAACTAAAATAATCACTACTTCAGAATTTTATAGAGAAAAACCCTCATGATTAAAAGACTGGTTGAACAAATTTGGACCAAATTGAATTTGTTGCCGGACTAAAATTTAGCATCTACAACATTTGTAGAGCTCACGCATGGTATGTTGAGACAAACGTCAATATCTGATGAGTTCTGAATCAGCACCACTCAAAAGGTTAATACATTCAGTCGGATGGCACCACTGATAAGTGGTGACAAAAACAATACTTTGACATTTGTCTCAACATACAATGTGCGAGCTCCACCCAACAAAATAATGAGGAGGAGGATACACCTTACAGAGGGGTAAATAGTGAGCTTTGACCATCAACAAGGGCATCTTCAAGGCAAACATTTCTTTCCTAGGAGGAAAATCAACCGGAAATTTTACATTTAGGGACAAATAAGAATCACTCATACTTACAACTCTTTCGCTATATGATTTCTTCAGCTTGCCCATGTGAGTGGTCATCCGTACCCTGAAGTGTATTTCATTGGAATCCTGAAATCACAGTAAATTTTAATGCAATTATCTGTCAAGATACACACCAGAGGGGGGGGGGGCACTAATAATAGAGTCCAAATTACTTTCACAAGATTCTAACAATTCATTTGATGTTGCTTACCGCATTTACTTATTAATGCGGAGTCCAATAATCACCTCAGATTTTTCTGTCATCTTCCAATTCTTAGCAAAGTTTTCTGACAGAGTATTCTTTTGACCTCTGAAAAAATTTTGGTCTCCTTTTTGAACAAATGCAATTTTGAAAACGGTTGGCAGGAGATGTAAAAAATCTAGGATCATGGTCATTTTCAGATTTGGCTTCAAATAGCTTCAGTAGTGTGAAAAAAGTACATGAGATTCGCTACATCGGACTTACAAAAAGATGTTTCTACTTCCTTTCAAAAAACATGACAAACAGATTGGATGAACATTTCGTAAAATGAACTAATTTGTGGATCTGATCAAACTAACTTTCTCAACAGAAAGATAGGAAAAATTATTGGACATGATAGGGAGTATTACTACTTATTTCAGGCTACTAAAGGCAAAAATAACCTTAGTTGTAATAGATTAGCCTTTATTTTGTTGAGATTTTTGGCACTGTAAGTCATAATGACTAATTTACACCGCATTGCAAGAAAAATGAAGTTCAAAATAATACCCGTTTCGGCACTAGCTGGTTTTTATCAATGTAGAACCAACAAACTACAAATGACAGGATGAAAACGAAAGAGGCAAAGTTTGAGATAAAGTTTATCACTGCTTTACACCGAAATAACAGGTAGATGTTGCACCAAATATTGAAAAGAAAAGCAAATGAAAAGTTACTTAGTCGAGATTCCACACAATAATGCACTTTCACCTTGAGACACTGGATGAGAGGGATTGAATGTGTCACTTGGGTCTAAGGGATGTAAGAAGACCTCAATTTTGGGCGCAGCACACGCTTACAAAGACTTGCTGACGTCACAGGTGGCGAGACAACAAGCTTATACATAATTGGCTGGCTATAATCTATGTAGCTATCAGTTGCAAGTCTAGTAATTAAAATTAATGTAGATGGACTGGATGATATTGAAGAAGAGAAGATTTGAAACTTAAAAAATAGACTTGATGAAATGAAAATGAATTTTAGGGAAAAACTTAAAAAGTGTTGACATTAGTTTTTTCCTGTCATGCATTATTTTAGCACTAATACAATTTTTCCAGAAGAATCCTGTGCAACAAAGTGGTAAGCATGTGTTTAACGTTTAATCAACAACGGGTGGCTAGAAAATAGATGCTATGGTCTTAAAGTTCGAGATATTAAGATGTGAAGCTGTATGATGCTCTGGAGCTAAGTCAGAGCTGTAAAAGGAGCTATGGACAGTACATAATTTAAGTAATCTGATGCAACTTGCATCGAAATAAATTAGATATTTGTGTTCAAGTTGACAGCCAGATCTATGAGACGATTTTCGGTAATGGACAAGGGCCGACCTGTGCGGGCAGTTACTACAGGAGCTCTATGATGAAAGATGTGAGGAAAGCTTAAAAATTACGTAGCAAAGAAGGGAAACGCAGGTCTCCTTGGTATCATCCTGTCAACGAAATCTTACCTATCAGTTCAAAGATTGTACCACTGAGGTTAAAGCCCTGACTCCGTTTAAAAGCTGCAACGTGCCATATTCACTGGACCTTGTTTCAATGCGGATAGTTAAAAGTTAAGAGACAAATATTCAATATTTTCCACTGGAACTAGAGTGATATTTTCTGGGACTCATAGTTGCTTTCGTTGGAGGGAATGTGTTCTAAAATGGCAGCCGTTAGGTACATACCTGAAGATTACCGTTAGGTCAGGTCAGATTAGAAAAACTAGTGGAAAATTGCTGTAGAAGCAAGGTAAGATTTAACGAAAATAAATTCAAGCTCGAGATGCATATCATAAATTTCGATCGTTTGTGGTTAGGAAAGTGACTGACTGATGCACTTGAGGCATCAAAAACATGCTTGAAAAATTACGCAAACAAAGTGGGCAAGTCTGAGAATTGATTGAAAAACCTGCCACCATGCGGTTGATGAGGACTAGGAGAATGAATAAGATGTAAAAATAACTCACAAAGAGAGTAAAGTTAAATTACTTACGTTTCCGACCACTTTCAATTTGATGAAATCGGAGTTTTTGTCCCCGGCGGCCGAGTCGGGCTTGTCCACCTACGAAATGAAGCGAAATTTCGTTAGTACAACTTTTCATGGGTAATGTACAATTATAGTAGAAGCGAATAAATGCAGAGTACAAAAAGTATTTACCTGATTATCAGACATGATGTGACAATAAAAATAACGTGCTTTTCAGAACTTTGGAAAACCGGGGACAATGGCAAGGCAATGATTTTACTCTCGCGGCAATATGGCGTACACTCGTACAGCGCACGGCGCAAGACCGCAACCCCAGGAAGCAAGGAGAGGGATACGTCACAGCTACTTATATCAGATCAAAGTCCTGATTGGCTTGTTTTAAATTTGCCGCTCTTTGCATTGTGAAACATTGAAAAGTTTACGCCAATGAAAGGGATGGCGCGAACAAAACCGAATTTCATTGGTTCCCATTCCATTACGTCATTGTAAGATGGCTGTCGAAAACTGCCACACTTGTTTCTAAACACCACGAGCGTGCTTACCTTACCCGTACTCCGTGCATGGTCAATTTTGTGCCCCATGGCGATGCTTGTGGTTGAAATCCACGTGTTTCTGTGACAAATTTAATTTTCCAATACTCTTGTGTTTTTAAATTGGTGCATTTTTTCAGATTCCTCCATCATGACGGATTTTGGTAAGTTAACGAGCCAAATGTTTACGTTATCTCTAATAACTGTGCAAGCAATCTTGTAATCACCGGGGCAGCCGGCCTCAACGGTTAAGTGAGCTTTCGCCGCATGTTTTCACGTAAATTCCGCATCCTAAAGTTCAGTTTGCATCGTATTATCGACTGTCTTCTCATGCTTGGTAGGAAAATATCAATCACTTCAGTTGTAACATCAACAACTCAACATTGTCCTCTCCATGATCAAGTTTACCCGTGATCTCGGGGAGCTCGCCCATCGGATGTATTTTGCCCTGATTTTGGTTAAGAACTTATTTTTTCTCTGAATTGTTATGCTGTAACCACTCTAGTCGTAATTTTGATGTCTCTGCCTACTCAACATGGGAGGGCGATGTCATCTATGTATGAAAGGAACAGCATGGGTAACTGAACGATTGTAACGGCACAACATTGCCCCTAATCGCATGTGCTGCGCTAATCAGAGATGGCAGCTCTCGGATTTATCTTCCTTAAGGTGAACTCCTCTTGTCTATAAGACCATTAAGATTGAATTAATTCTGGTGTGCTGCTCTATCGCCAGCATCAATTATCATTCCATCTTACTAGATGGTGAGAATCGAATTCGAATCCTCTGAGGTTTTGCTTTTTAACTGATTCGCCTCATTTAACGAGTATACACGTCGGCGCGCTTCTGGAACATATCTCAGCTGCTGAGTTAATTTGTGCTATCTGTTGGCATTGCTACGCGATTGTTTTGGTTGTGTTTTTTCTGCTTTTCCAACAGATAGCATCTCCCGCGTCGCAACCCCGATAGAAGGGGCGAGTTAATTCGCCAGCTGAGATGTGTCCTAGGCGTGCGTTGACAAGTAAACCTTGTTATGTGAGGTGAATGGGTCAATCGAAAAATTTGGTTCACAATTTATATGAATGAAAAGTAAGCTTTGTGCCAAACCCATCTCTAAAAATATTGGTGTCCTTCTTTCTCATGAGAGATCTGATCTCTTCTGATTTTTCCTAATTTTTCCATTGATCATTACAGTATGTCGTATGTTAATTTATTATTTATCATCTTAGTGATTAACTCTCATTTACAATTGAAACCTACTGATATGTCTTGTTTTCCTCCTGCTGATTTCCATAATCATAATTAAATTTCTTGTTTATTTCCAGCCTCCCCGCAAAGTGGCAAAAAGAAGAAAAAGGACAAAGATAAGAATTTGGGTGACATTCACAGAGAAAAGTCTTTTCAACTCGAACCATCAGAATCCACAACAAAGTTAGAAACATCTAAATGGCCATTACTTCTCAAGGTAAACTTTGTTTTGAGTAGAATTGAGAGCACTGCATTTGCTTATCAATCATTTTACTTCAATTTTTTGGGAAAATCATCCACTAACTCTTAGTATCCTTCTTCAATTAATAGGAGTTTAAAGAAGTTACTATCGTAAGAGAGAGTTATGTAAGGGGGAAAATGTTGGTTTTCAAAGTTTCCATCTCGCCAGAATATTAGATTTGGTTACTAAATATCACATAGCCAGGCTGCTGAAATGCCCCATTCTCTAGTGAAAATTACATGCAAGGCAGATAGAAGTTTATCACTAACATGGCCGAAGGCAGTAAATATCTCCTTACCAAATTGTGGCCAAATGTGAATGCGCAAAATTCAACAAGTGCGCTTTGGTAAGAAACTAGGAAAACCAACCAAAAAGAATCTTGAAAATTATTATTTTGAAATGATAGAATCACTTCCATGGAGGAAGTGCCAAAATATCTGATGTTTACAGAACCAAATGGAAAATGTAATGCAATGAATTGATGGCAATAAAAAGAAATGATTTTAAAATTACAATGAAAATACATTATTTGTCATCAACTTTAGCTATACTTTACCATGAGAAACCCATGGATGCATTTCAAATTTTATAGGATCATCATTTGAAGAGAAAGTTCAATTTAAAATAGTTTCTCAAAGGGCTACTCTTTTATTCGCATCCTTTATTTTTTAGCAAGTAAAGTTCTTCCTGATTGTATATGGATGGCTGAAGTGCAACACCCCGTATCTCCATTGCAGTGTTTCAAAATCTCCATTCCTAGTTTATTTTTTCGAAGAGGGACAAGTCAGCTCTATAGCTTGAAATTTATACAGAATATATTCTATGAACAGAGAATAAAAAAATCAAAGAAGTTTTCTAGAAGTTAAGTTTACTAATTTTCTGAGGAAAAAATAAAGCATGACTGGGAGTCGACAATGTTGCAAATAGAGATATGTGGTCTCTCACTTTAGCCATTGATATTTTTAATGAAACTTTGAAGAAAAGGAGGGCACGTGGGGCCCCTTATGTATCGGCTTAAGAGTTTTTACAAAATAATTTCCCTTCAAACAATTGGATTGCATTTGGCAAAAAAGAACCAAAAGCAATCCAATGTTGCTAAGAATGTGCAACTTACATTTTTTGCCATGAAATTGCTAAAATTATGCAAAATATTAAATTTACAAGGGTAATTTTCATCTTGAAATTTTAGTTTGTTGGGAGTTAAGATAAAACTTTTCTGACGATCAGTTTATATTTGCAAGGTAAAAAAAGTTTCATAATCTTAGCATCATTGGAATTATCTTGGTTCCTTTTTACCAAATGCAATCTAATTAACCCTCTGTGGCTTTATAAGATGTCAAGTTGTAATGTCTGTGACAAGAAAAAGAAGAAGAAAACAAAGAAAAATGCCAGATAAGGACCAGTGTATTTCAGTGTCTTTGGATTGTTTTTGTCAGCTTATTTTTTTCTTCTTATTTATCTAACTTTCAATGTACCATTTCCAGAACTTTGATCGTCTTAACGTCAGAACCAATCACTATACACCCTTACCTAGTGGCTGCTCGCCCTTGCAGAGACCTCTTGATGAGTACCTTAAAGCAGGATGTATCATTTTGGACAAACCAGCCAATCCTAGCTCCCACGAAATCGTCGCTCAAATCAAAAGAATATTGAGAGTGGAAAAAACTGGACATTCTGGAACTTTAGATCCAAAAACTACAGGTAAATGTCCAAATTATTAAATTCTGTGCCGAATCTTGTGTGACATGAACTGGCTTTGCCTTGTCAGCCATGCATGTCCCAAGGTTTTCACCGAACATGAAAGCAGCCTGTTGTGTTAGAAAGGAGTGCGGCAATGGCTTTTAGTTTTTAAGAGAGAGGGACAGATTTTGTGAGTTTTAAGTTGCGTTTTGAACTATTAGCTCGGTTTCCACGATCAAAATGAGCCCATCAAAATTGGTCATTGGTTCGACTGTTAAAAATTGCCGATCAAAATTAAGAGGCACCTCTACTATTTGATGAACATTAATCGCAAACAGAGCATTAAAAGACATTTATTCTACACTCTGTTTAGCAATTTATGTTGATTTAAATGTAGCGGCTCATCTGAATTTTGATAGGTAACACTCAACAGTTGCATCGGTGACACAGTTTGATCATACTGTAAACGCACTTTTTTCATTTCCTTAGTGTGCGCACAGATAACACTAAAAACATCAAGCTGAAGAATTCAAATCATTCTCTTCACACCCCTGGCAGCCCTCATTTAACAGTTTTTTTTTTGTTTCAAATTCTAATACTAGCTGTGCCCTGTTTATTTGAGTCTTCTCTCATTTTTAGGTTGCTTGAACGTTTGTTTGAACCGAGCCACCCGATTAGTCAAATCACAGCAGTCTGCTGGTAAAGACTATATTGGGATTTTCAAGTTACACTCGCCAGTAACTGATTTGGTTAAGGTAAAGAACAAATAACTTAATAAATTAATAAATCATTAATACCAAGCTTGTATAGATGCTAGTAGTGGTGATGTCACCATGGGTATTTTCCATTTTTCAAATTGGATACTTTCACTTCCTGATACATCTTTCGATAACAGAAGTTGCAGCATCGCCAATTTAGTTTTTAGTGTTTTCACAAACTATGAACCTATTAACTGTAATAGAATGTAACTACCTTGAAGATTATTCACATTTGTGACTCAGTGTTGTTTTATACGAGAAAATATGAAAATTACTGAGAATTTTACATGGATGTATGCTACATCATGCTTACATGGTGTAATTGACGTGATATTTTGTAATCGTAGTCTCAGTGATGATAATGCTAATTCTTTTTGGCATGAATCCATGTAGGTTCTCAATTTTGAATAATTATTTATGTTTTTTTTTTTTTTTTTTTTTTTTTTTTTTTTTTTTTAATTCATTTTTTTGGACATATTTGAAAAAGCTGGCCACATTGAGTACAATTCCTGTCATTGTTAAATGACCCCTATCAAGATTTTTCCCTCAACTTCAATTTTTATTTTTATACCTATCTTGTTTTACTTTTATAAATTAAGTGTTGTTAATTTTCAGTTGGGTGTATCAATAATCTTTTCTTCCCATTCTTATTCAGATCAAACAGGCTGTTGAAACTTTACGTGGGTCTTTGTTTCAAAGACCACCCTTGATCTCCGCAGTCAAAAGACAACTCCGTGTGAGGACCATATATGACAACAAACTCATTGAGTTTGATCAAGAAAAACAATTAGGTATGTATTTTTTCAAATTGCAACCCCAAAAATTTAAATTTTGAATCAGTTCAACTTCCGCCGAGCATGTAATCCCTCCCTTGGGCATTTACCAAGGGTTTTAAACAACACATCTTTTGCCTTGGAGCAAGAAACTGGAACAATGATGGAAAGCGCCTCACATAATGTCAAGATTCGCGACTCCACGACAGAGTCAAAATATTTGCAACAAAGAGGGTAGAAGTAAGCCAAAACAAAACACTGTGTTGTCCTATCTAAAAGAAAAGTAGAATCCTCGTTTCTTTCTCAAAATTTTATCATAATGAAACCTTAGAAATTTCATCATTTACATCATTACACATTACATCTCTTGCAGCAAGCTCTTGAAGTGGAACTTAGACTTAATGAATGACTGAAGGTTCGTATTTCATCTCTATGTATTGCCATTTTCAGTTGATCATTTACGTAAAATCAACATGTTGTACATAATATGAATGATGATATGATCTTTCTGTAATCATTTTTATTCATTTATGTCTTCCAGGTATTGTCTGGCTTAAGTGTGAAGCAGGGACTTATGTAAGAACATGGTGTGTCCATCTTGGATTAGTTCTGGGAGTTGGAGGTCAAATGGTTGAGCTGCGGCGACCAAGATCAGGTAACTTTCCAAGATAGTGAATCTGCTATTTAAAGTCTAACTAGTTATGCGATGTATGATTTTCAGGATTACGGTACTCTGATTAACCTAATTTTAGTTGTGATATTGTCAGGTTTTTCTTTTTCTCAAGTCAAGTGCTTATTATAAGATGAACCAGTAGAAAATCTGTTGGAAGTCGAAACAATCTTTTGAAAATTAAAATAGGCCGTGAACTTACTGATATTTGGACCGCGTTAAACAGAAAGGAACCAAGCCACATCAGCTATTGCCAAATTTAATTAGGGGAATTAATTTTTTACATGAAAACGGTTGGGCGGATTTTTGTGCAAATTTCAGTGAATTTTCTCCATAATACAAAGCAAATTCTTTAAAATTTTCAAAGGAATCCACACAAACGTTCCCTCGTAAAAAATTGACTCGCTCAGCTAAATTTGGCAATAGCTGATGTGGCTTGGTTCCTTTCTGTTAAACGCAGTCCATTTATTGCTTAGATATGTTTCAGCGTGGGATTATCTTCAGTACGTTGCTGAGTTTCACCGGAGATGCACTGTGGTGCAATTAGCCGCTCCTCTGACGTAAGGGCGTATCTCAATTTCCACAAGTCTTTTTCTCCGTGTAACTCAGTGCTGTCCGGGGCTCATGTGGAAATTGAGATACGCCCTTACGTCAGAGAAGCGTCGAATCAAGCCATGTTGTTGTTTTCCCTTGTAATTTCGGTTCTTGATCTATGAAAAAATCCTGCAACCTTGAGACAAACATCCAACTTCCTATATGCCAATTCAGAGAAAATTGGGTCTGAAATAATAATTTGTCAGAAATTTAGAATGTATTATTTACACAGAAGTGGCATTGTTGCTGAGTCAAAAATGTGGAGCCTTTTGTTCTGAACTCAGTTGACGTGCTGTCGTATCCCTCTAGCCAGCAAGACATGAGGAAAGAGGAGCTCACTCCTGCATCATCAACGCTTTTCTACTTGGACTGCATTTTGCAATTTGGAACTATAAATTCTGGCCTGGTTTAAAAACAACGTATGTGCCATTAGTTTCCCTATGCACATTAGTGTTTTTCAGATGAGCCAGAAATCATAGTCCCAAATTGCATAATGCAGTCCACTTGATAGTGCAAGTAAAACTGTCCTTTTCAAACGTAATATTCTTAAGATTGGCGTGTAGGAAGTTCAATTTTTTAAGCTTATATTTTACTCCAGAGATTGTAAGGAACATCATATAACAAAATCTCGGAATGTGCTCGGCACTGAATTTCTTGGTTGTGTGTGCGGTGTCATTTGAAGAGGGAATCATTCTCTAACTGGACATTGTTAATATTAATTTTCAGGAATCCATGATGAAAACGATACTACTGCCACAATGCACGATATTTTAGATGCTCAGTGGCTGTATGATAATCACAAAGACGAGTCCTACCTGAGGAGAGTCATCCATCCTCTCGAGTATTTACTCACTGCCCATAAAAAAATCATCGTAAAGGATAGCGCAGTAAGTATCACTAATAGTGAAATGTTATTACCTTTACCACCAAACTTGCACATAACTAATGGGATGGTGAGAAGGAATTTTTGCAGGGTTGGTGAAAACCTCAAACAGCTAATTAAAAATTCTAAACAGCATTTCTGAGGGGAGGAAAAGCTAATCAAAATCTGTCTGATCAAAGAAAAGCCAATAATCGAGTTGGCCGAGCACTGCCATTTTTTACGCTGAGTCCATCCAATCAGCAAACCCCATTTCCCCCGTCTGGCCATGTCATCAAATTCCACCGAAAGGATTGTTTCAAACAGGTCCCATTCTTGGTATTTTCAAAATCGGATTTCTTATTCATTAAGGGTTGAAAAAAATCTGAAGAAATTCTCACAAGCTTAGCTCACTCAATACTTTCAAGAAGTAGGTGCCTCTGACCTTTTGAAACATCCAGCGAATGAAACTTAGTGATTTTAAATTTTTTTGTGTGGAAAAATTGGGTTATTGGTTTGTGTAAAAATAGCTTGTGAGCCATCGATATATGTAAATTTCATTATATTTGCTTTTTTTTTTTACAGGTTAATGCCATTTGCTATGGTGCTCAAATAATGTTACCTGGATTGTTGCGTTATGATGATGGAATCGAATTGAATCAAGAGATAGTCATTGTTACAACAAAAGGAGAAGCTGTCTGCTTAGGTATGTGAAGCTCATTGCAATTTTATAGCTCCGAACTCTCTTGTGATTCACAAGGACACTGTAATTGGGTGTGATCCATTAACCAAGTATCGCAAAGAGGCTTTAATTAGTTTATGCGGCATCTAGCCTTTTTTTTTTGACGTCAAATTTGTTTCATTCACTAATAAGAATCTAAAAATGGGTTTTTTGGTCGTTTTAAAGGAATGATATTTTTCAGTAATTTTTAAATTTTGCATTTTTGCAAAGTGAAAACAGCACATAGTCCACTGGAATTTTAGAAAAGAACAATATAGCAAGTGTGATATATTGGACTTTTTCTCTTCCTTCCTTATCAAATTAAGTTCGATGTGTAGTAGTATTTTGCTGTTTGTTTTTATTTGAATAACTGTGTCACATGACAAAAGCAATTTTTATCTATGTTTTTGATTAATTCCACTCAAATCTGCAATTTACTACAATAGATAGATATTACATCAGCTGCATCAGCGCGCTGAATTCATCACCCACCTGACATAAGGATGTAACTACACATTGCGATGAGCCCTTTTGTCCATTTAACTTAATGCTCTCCTGGGCTCATCTCTTTGTGCACAACGCAGTTTGTAGTTACGCCCATTTGTCCGCCAAACGACGAATTGATGGCTGTATTGGCAGTGGAGCCCCAAGTATTGTAGTTTCTTAGCAAGTTTTTCTTAGCCTAATATGTAGGAGGAAATATTTTTGGCAGTAAACCGTACCCAGTGGAGTCTCAACTTTAAGGGCAGTGTTTGAAATACGGATTATGACTTGTACCACACATATTACGAAACGTGTGTTAACATAACTTTAACTATGTGTGTTGCAGCAATCGCCTTGATGACCACTTCTACCATTGCAAGTTGTGATCATGGTACTGTTGCTAAAATCAAACGAGTCATTATGGACCGTGACACCTATCCTCGGAAGTGGGGCTTGGGTCCGAAGGTACAATTTTAAATTTGCCTCTGTTCAATTTTGTCAATAATTCTGTTTCAGTTTGTTCTATGCAGCCTATGCCTCATGAATCGAAATTAATTTCATTGTCATTTTAAAAAACTATATGGTCAACATAATTTTAAGTATTAACTTCTTTGATTTTTCCTCTCATTTAGCAGAATATTCTGTATAAATTTTAAGCTCTAAACTTGGCTTGTATTTCTTGTAAATATCAAATATGAGAGGAAATTTTGAAACACCACAATAGGGATACATGCAAGGTTTTGCACTTAGGCCACGGATATTGCCAAACTTTCCAGCTCAGTCTTATGAGGACAGAGTTTATCAGAAAAGAACCAAGTACTTTCAGTGACAAATTAATAGAAACACCTATTTGAGTAATGGGATCAATGATAGACTGGTTGGCATGGAAATTAGCAGAAAAAGATGGTTTGTTTCTGCTAGACTGGGTCCGTTTAATGTGCTTATAATGTATTCTTACTACATGTCGATTTTTACTCCGTTTAATCCAATCCATCAGCAAAAACTTCAAAACTGTCATCTGAACGCTAGAAATGATCCAATCAGGCTGAGATTGTATATAGATGATTTTTAATATTCATATATATAGATTTATCTAAATTAATTTATGGTCTCCTTTCAAGTAGAACTGCTGATCAACTTTCAATCTGTCATATCTACCACCTCCAGAAAATCTTCATTTGAATGTTTTAATTGTTGAAAGATGCTATGAAGTCATTATGAGACGATTATTTGGTTCTCTTCACAGGCTAGTATGGTGAAACGTATGATCAAGGATGGAAAGCTGGACAAGTATGGCAAGCCAAATGAAAACACTCCAAGCGACTGGACCGGCTACAAAAGTTATGATAGGTAAAGAAGAAACTTTTTTCTTGCATTAAAAGTTCAGGAGTAGTTTTAATTTGACCGCAGTTGTGAACTGGTAATTTCTATTATGAGTTTCTTAAAATTGCTGCTAAAAGAGATCTCTATTTAAACGGCATCACAAAATTATTGCCATCAGCCATGAAACGCACCTCAGTCATCAAAATTATTTTTAAAAAAGAAGATAGAAAATTTGTATCGTAAATTATACAATTTTAATTTGATTAGCTTTATAGCCACTCCATTGCTTTCAACTTAATTATCATACTCTGCAGGAAGGGTGGGTGATCTTTAAGAGAACCGAAAAGTGAAATGGAAAAGATTATTTTGAGTTCAAGCCTGACTACTGTTTAAAAAGTTCAAAATCTAAATGTTAGTGGGTCAGTGGTGTATGTATAATTTCTGTTGGGTATCTGGCAGTAGTTTTCAATGTAAAATGTCACAAAAAAACCAGAAAATTGCATCCAAAAATTTTAGAAAGCCCTCTTTTGGAAAAAAAGCCACATAATTGAGAAAAGTATGACCGACCAGAGGCCAACATTTGTGATGATGTAACTAGACCATATCTTGGGCTGGGTTTCAGCCAATCAGAGAATGCGGACTCTCTCATCTCCCTACGGTCATTGATACAACATGATTTGCTCTTCCCTCTTTCTATGCTCATTATTATTATTGCATGCTCATGCAACACTTATATTATGCAACTATTATTTATTATGAGTCCTTGTTCTTTATTTCATCCTGTTTTTCTATTTTTAGTGTAACGGTGAAAGTTGAGAAACCAGATGATGATGAAAGAGAGGAAGGAACAAAAAGCAAGCGAAAAGTAAGTGTAACATCCAAAAATAGTTTTGTACTGTAAGTTTTCCTACAACTGAAAAATCCGAAACTTTAAGGCAAGATGAACCCAAAAGTGAGGCTATTCATTTAAGAGGTTGAAAAACTCCATAGAAAAAAGTGTAAGTTCTCCAGAGCATACTGTTTGATTAAAAAATGTTAGATATTTTGACCCTGTGTGTAGACTTCACAGCAGTACTGGATCATAAATCAGATTTGCTAAATGCATGCGCCGAAATTCTTGGCTTTCATAATATGATCACTCTTTTGATTTCCTGAGCGCTTAGTTGACACGAGGCCAAAAGATTGGGTCCACATATTTAATTCAGTAATATTAAAATTTGATCATTTTGACTCATTAAAAAAAAAATTAATGTTGCAGCGAATGTCAAGCGTCACAGAAACTCCAATGGATATTGACACTAGTGATATCAAAACTGAAGGAGACATAGTTGTGAAGAAGAAAAAGAAAAAGAAGAAGGTTCAAGATGAAGAACCCTCTACTTCAGAGCCTGTTGAAGGCAACGGCACACCAGAGGTAAGTTTTTCTTTGTAAAATAGGTTGACATTTTAAGATATGATAAAGAGCTTAGATTGTACTAGTTTTCAATAAAGTAACGTAATATTTGAATTCATTTGCAAAGAAATGGTGATTTTTATCGGCTCATGCAAGGTTTGACCATCAACTCATAGTTGGTGAAACATGATTTTGAAGATACACCTTCAAATTATTCAGCACTGACGATAGATTATTGTCAGAAACTTGTCGCTCTCTGGTAGAGTTGATTGTTAAAAGCATGTTTCTGAATTATTTAACTTTAAAGTTTGTGCATTTTTGAGCAGCTTGCTTCAAAATGTATGGTATGGCAAAGATGTCTTTTGATTCTCATCAGTCGACCTACTTTGACGAGTCAGCAGGGAATCCAAAATCACCGCCATCTAGAGAAGCATCGATTATAAAAAAAAAAAAAAAATACCGTAACTCTGACTGAACCAAAAATAGACGACTTTGATCAAGAGAGATGAAAATGAATTTTTTATCCCTTTTATCAGCTCGTCTAATTAGCTTTGTATAATTTTGCAGGATGGCGAGAAAAAGAAGAAGAAAAAGAAGAAAAAGCACCATGACGAAGAATGAATGAAAATAGTTTTCAACTCGTAACTTGCAGGGAGTACAAAGAAAAACAAAGCATCAAAACGAAGAAAAAATTGAAAACATTGTGAAATATTATTTTCAGTGTTCTGGAAGCCATGTAGCGGTTTTTGCTTCTGCACTATTTTGCATCTGTTTAAGTGTTAAAATTTTTACTCAATTGATTCCTTACCGTCCCATCTGTAACCAAGAATGTGAAGTGAATAATATTCAGATGGGTTTTACCTTTCGGTAGAATTTTCATGAAATTCCACCGTGTTCACTTCTCTCGGTATCAACGGAGAGGATGTACTTTTAAGAAGACCTTTGTTTAAAGCTTATAAAATTAATTATTTTCCTTTGTTACTTAAATTAGGAGTGAAAAGAATGGGTACTTTTTTCTCTTTGTTTCACTAAAATGATATGAATGTCCTATTGAATCATTTTTAAGGAAATTTAAAGCCTGATATACGAATGCGAGTTCTTGATTAGAAGAGACAACAAGGAGATGCAGCAATATTTCCAGGTCACTCTTTTACTGTTATTTTTCAACAATTTCAGAGATAATAAATGAGAATTCCATCATGAAAGTAGATGAGAAAGCATATCATAACGGAAATACCCATTCCATTCCCAAGGAACGTGCTAAATAGACTGTTAGTTGCTACACCTCATGCTTCAATTGAAAACAAACACATAACCCTGTTTTGGATTCGCACTGTAGTGGTAAAATGCGTCTAAGTGTCTCTAGCAATCAAAGATTATCGTGCTTTATGAGTCATTAATTCATTTATGATCAGTTAATAACTAAATTTAGACATGAGGTCGTGTTCAATTATTTTAGTTTGAACCATCGCAAAATGCCAAATTGCACCGAGTCAATCTATAGCAACACTAATGTCAGTGGCTCAGTATTTTTTGTTCAGTAATTTTTTAAATGTTAACCAATTGAGGAAATGTCTTACAATTAGAAGTACATCTGAAGGTTTTCCTTTAAGAACGGAATTCACGAAGACACTCTGTAATATCCATTAATCATGTATTTTGTAAGTATGATCTGAAGGATTTTAGTTGTTTTTGCAAGACATGGAAAACTTGTGAAATTCCCTCCTCCACTTCAGTCATTATTTATTAATGGCAAATTTTTACGATTATCAAATTCATTTTTTTAATTATATATTTTGTGATCATTTGTAGTTATTGCACAGCAGGAGAGAAATATTTTTTTATGCTGTTCTTTATTTTTTTAATTCTTGTAATGTTAGGGAAAATCCCGGTAATCGATAAGAAATCATCTACCTGATTTTAAAATGCTTTTTGTGACTGATGAAGTTCACCTTTTTTAAGAATAAATTTGATGTTTTTGAAGGAGAAAGTTTTGTCTCTATATTATAGCTCTGTAACAATGCCTTGTCAAGAAGCTGTTTAAGCCAAGATGGAAGTGAAAGACTTCGATGCAACAGAGAAAAGAATACCTTAAAAAAGATTTTGGAATATTGCAATGGATGCTCATATTTTTCGACTTGAACATCCTAGTTGCGCACCAATATCTCCCTGACTCCAATGTTCTTTTTACATGTGAGCAGCACAACACAATAATTGTGGAAACTGGAACACAATTGAAAATGAATACATTCCCGCTTGATGTCAAGAGATTATCTGAAAATTTAAAAAATGTGGATTTACTTTAAGACTGAATCTACTTCTTCAGTATTAGAATAAAACTACATAGGTACTTAGAATAGTTGATTATTATTTGATTTCTTCTTTTTAAAACAGTAGGTACAAATTTACAATTAGATCACAAATGAAGAACATGATAATATAATCAACAACCGCTTTCGAAATATAGGTAAAAAAAAAATAGAATTATAGAATATAGGTAAAAACAATTTGAGAGAGGAAGAAGTCGCAGATTAAAAACAGTATGATTACAAGTTATTCTTAACAAATTATTCCTAATACTACACATGAAATAACAAACAAATTATATTGTTGTACACGACCAAAAAATTGATTGCAAGCATAGTAAATAATTTGAATTTGATTACGACAATAAATACTAAAAATAAGACAGTAATTATGAGCTTGCATACATTATAAAATTCTTTGAAATAAAATTTGACGAATCCTGGTTATGGTCTCACTTTAATAAATACTTAAAAAAAAGAGGAAATAGAAAGACAGTAATTATGAGCTTGCATCTATTATAAAATTCATTGAAATAAAACTTGACGAATCATGGTTATGGTCTCACTTCAGTTGGTTTCTAAGACGACGTTTGACATTCTTCAGTTCTGATTTCGGTGAGCTTATCAATGGTGAGTGGAACTGAAAAAAAACACAAGAACCAAATAAGTTGTGGCAGTATTTTCCTGCGTAATTTAAGGAGAAGGAGGTAAAACAACAATATTTTCTTTACTTCAAAAGAGCAAGAAAATGATAGAATAAAGAAGAATCCTTAAATTTAGCTGTGTGCTGATATTGCCTCAATAAATAGTAAATTTTTGCACTTGGAAGGAATATTTTGCAAAAACCAAGAAGTCACACCCCAGATAAGTCATCCCTCAAAGTTGTCAATCAAAGTAAGGTTGAAAATTTACTAGCAATTTCAATTGAAACAAAACTAATGAGTTTACCTTAAGGTTTCACAGAATAATTTTCTAGAGGTACAGCAGCCTGATAGCTGAAATTTTTTGTTTGTCGGGACGACATAGATGACATAGGTTAGAGGGCGGAGCGAGATTGGTCGCCTATGTCTTATCGCTGCTTTGTGGGGTGGAATGGACAACATACTGTCAGAAACTTCAGAGGTGCCGTTAGCTTGTCGTGAGTTTAACCGGACATAGGCACGACAAAGCAGCAATGAGACATAGCCGACCAATCACGCTCCACCTTTTAACCTATGTCATCTATGTCGTCCCGACCGACAAAAAATTTCAACAACCAGGCTGCAGGACTAGTGATAAGTTTGAACAACTTTACATAAAGGACCCTGTACACCTCTTATGGGAAGCTGCACCATGAAGAAACCTGCATTTTTTTATGGCATTCGATTCTCCTCAAGATGCTGATCAAAAGTTATCATTGCGCCAACTTTCTACGATGCATCGTTTTCGCAAAAAATGGCCGAGAAGATTCAATTATTCGGCGATAAAAAGCCAGAGAGATTCCTCATTTCAGCACTCGAGTGCTGTGTGTCAACAAGAAAATCAAGGGAACTCCCACACCGACCGGCTGTCTTCTCTCGGATTCCGCACGCGCGCCGTTTCGTTAGACCATCTAAATCAGATTCTTGAGGAGCATAAGAACAGGAAAGTCAGAACAGAGAAAAACAGTGAACGTCAACCATACGAGAGCGGGAGGGAGATAGCCCCAGAGTCGGCAGGTACAGATAAGAAGATGGTCACGTGCTACGTTTTTTCCTTGTTCACATCGGGCCTGTTCTCAAATACTTTGTTCTTTTTTATTCATAGTCGCCGAATAATTGAATCTTCTCGACCGTTTTTTGCTAAAACAGTGCATTGTAGAAAGTTGGAGCAATGCTAACTTTTGATCAGCATCTTGAGGAGAATCGAATGCCATAAAAAAATTAAGTTTTCTTCATGGTGCAGCTTACCATAAGAGGTGTGCAGGGTCCTTTATTTCAACATCATCCTACTGAAGAGCAAAATTAACAATAACAATAAACTGATGCAATGGCAATACACAGAGCTAATTCTAAACTAAAAATCTGCGCCCGGAACAAATAGAACTTCCTTTTAAACTACAAATGAGATGGCTGATTACCTATGACAGCAGGTCACTAAATAAGAATGAAAAACAACTTAATCAGCCAAAATACACATAATAGAAGTACAACTTAATTTGGGGAAAAGGCTGCAAAAAAACAACAAAGGATAAACAAAACCCGGAACGTTTCAAAATAGGAATTTCAACCGGAAAAGAAAAATTAAAAATAAAAACGAGCCGTCGCTACGCTGTTATTGCAAGACCGAGACTCCAAGACTAAAGAGGGATTTTTAAACTAAAAGAGAACGTCCCATTTTTACTCGTCAAACTTTTATGGTTAAAACGATTAACTCAATAGGAAGTTCAGGAATAAACTCCCGAATGAGATAACAAGTATTCTTTAAGCAGGTCAAACAGAAATTATTTTAGATCATACGAATGACATCATTTGTAATTTCGCCTGTTAATAATTGGATTGCATTTTGCAAAAAGGAACCAGGAGCATTGCAATGTTGCTAAGATTGTGCAACTTCACCCATTGCGGTATTACGATTTATATACTGAAAGAATATGAAATTTACATGGTAATTTTTGTCCTAAATTTACGGTTTTTAGCGAGTAAAATAGAAATTGATTAGAGATAATCAGGTGTTCCTTCCAAGACAAAAATAAAAAAAAAACCGGCGCTCCGCGCCGGTTTTTTGGGGGGGGGCTTCGCCCCCCCAAGCCCCCCCAGGACGCGCGCTTTTTAGTTTGAGTGTCCATTCCAGTTGTTCTGTCTTCTTAAGCGACCCGCGCGTCCACCGCGGGAAGAGTGTATTTTCCGAAGGGGGGGGGGGTCAATCTGTAAGGGAATGAATTAAGAATTGAAACAGAAGTTGAGTTGTGAGCAGGTGAGCACGTTGTGAGCAAGAAGTTGCGTACCTTGTCGCGAGAGTGCGCGGCGAGCGGGAATCCCACTACTGCGCTGATTGACCAGAGGCGAGAGTTGCGGACGGACGATGTACGAGAAATTGCCTACGTGGAGGCGGTCCGGCAGCAACATACCCACCGGCAGTCACCAGAAAGCAATAGCACAAAATAGTAGTTGCGTACGTTGCCAGCGAACGCGCTGCGAAAGGTTGTGACGGTTAAATGGTGAGATTTTGTTCAAGAACAGATCATTTAACCTGACCCACTGTGCGACGAACAATTTGTCCAGAATCTTCCTTCCCCTGACCCACTGTGCGACGAAAAGTTTGTCCAAAAACTTCTCTCCCCTGACCCACTGTGCGACGATCAGCTTGTCCAAAAACTTTCTCCCCCGACCCACTGTGCGGCCCTGCTCCGGCCGGCTCCCCTCATGCCGCGCACCCCTCGCCTAAAACTTTCAAAGCTCGCCATTTTTAAACGGCTCGGCCGATTTAGCTCAAATTCAATACCAAACCAGTCCTAGGGGAGAACTACCACCCGTAAAAATTTCAGCTCAAAATATTCATTTTCGCTCGAGTTATCGAGTGGACAAGATTTGACCTCCCCCCATTTTCGAGCCCCACCCCTCAAAATCTATTGCCTCAAATTTCAATTTTTTTTCGCAGAATAGTAGTTCTAATGAGTCTCTACTAAATGCAAAAAAATTGGTCAAAATATCTTTCAACGTAAGAAAGATATAACTACTCAAAAATCGAAAAATCCTAAAAGGGCGGAAATACATACATACATATAGTTAGTTAGTTATTATAATTTTGAGACATTCAGCGACTCAGGCTATTAACGTCTTTACAGGTAATTTTGAAAATAGGAGTATAAACGAAAATTTAGATTTTTAAATTAAGAGAGGTGAAGAGTTTCAGAATTTTGGTGATATATACATACATACATACATACATATATATATACACATGAATTTGAATGGCATATATTTTCGTGATCTACGACCCGTGATCGATGCTCTTCACAAGGTCTCGGGTCTGGGTCCGACATCATGGGAGAATGCAATAGTGTATTTCCTTCGGAAAATACACTAAAAGAGCTGCACAATCTCAGCAATATTGTAATGCTCCTAGTTCCTTTTGGCAAAATGCAATCCAATTGTGAATACTTATATCTTGTTTGGGATTTGATTTTCAGATTTCCTCTTGTGATTTGTTTTCCACATGAAAATTCGAAAGAGAAAACATGTTACGCGATGCTCTGCCCCTGTCTAGAGGCCCATTGCTTCTTAAGGTTTTTAGCCTATTCTCTGTTCAAAGATGATGTATGTTCATTGTACAGCTCATGGTTGGAACGGCAGAATTTTGGGGAAAATTCAGCTTTCATAAACTAAAAAAAATTTCAGGAGACCAGTAAAAGCGGAATTCTTCCTTTTAACCTCCAATTAACTTCAGGTAATTGATGATTAGAAAAAATGAGTTTTTACAAACAGAGTTATGAGAAAAATTAACACAGAACCTAACCATCTCTTGAATAATTTTTCACTGCATGTCTCTGTGCGAACATATAGCAAAAGAGAGCTAACTTGGCACCAAAGAGGTAGGAAAACAGTTCTTTAGTCCGGACGTTTAGCATTTCGGATTTCACTGGGTGGACAAAGTTATTTAAAAGCAAGGCTTCAACAAGTGATAATATTGGCACAAAAATAAATTCTTACTTTGATTGGAGCGATCACATTTTCCTGGTCAAAGAATTCATTGGCATTGTACAGTTTTTTTCGACAAGATTTTGACAGATTCTTGGCAAGATCATTGCAGCTGATACTGCGAGTAGGAGGAGTCTTTAGCGGAGACCCATTATCCAAGTTTGTCTGACTCAGCAGCACCCTAGAATGAACAAAAGCATCGTTAATGATAATAACATTTTAGGGTTTTTAGCCGTAACAAATTAGGTACAGTGAAATCTTACTGAGTCGGATTGTCCAGGGACCGGGAGAAATTTCGATAAAATTTAACTAATACTAATAAATATAACTAACTAATAAACTAATTAATAAATATAACTAACCTGGAACCAGAGCTCCTGCTGCGGCGGTGACTCGGAGATTTTACATCTTCAATTTTAGTTTGATTCCGGGTCCTTAATTTTCTTCTGGGCTCAGTCTTTGCCTCATAAACTGGATTGTTTTCTTTAAACTCATCACCAAGCCATTGAGATGTTGCTTTCTTGTTGGTTCGCTTACTTTTGTTCTTACTTTCCGACTGCTCCAGCTGTCCCTTCAATTCCGCTATTTGACATTCCAAGCGTTTAAATTCCTGCAAATGTTCCTGCAAATTGAAGCTCGTTATCAATACATATAAAAAATGGAAAATGGTCTGCAAGTCAAACTTTGTACAATCTATGAAACAAGGTATGAAAAATTCGATTCGTTTCTAATTTAATACTTTGTTGCATGACTAACTTTCAATTCATGAACTGATTTTGAGGGCTCTGATGGGATTTCTGTTTCAGTCAAAAGATTTAGGAGAAGAATCATTTGTGAATGTCGATAAGAAGGAAGACGTTGGTGGCAAAAAAAACTAAAAATACAGAATTTGGTGCCACTGCTGCAAGGAGCATCTCGCGAACATTTAGACACAAAAACCTTCAAAAACATCAAATGAATCTGAGGTTTTGATGGTTTAATTTTGTGGCTCGATAATCATACTTTTGAAAGAATGTATTTTTAAAAATTTGTGGTTTAAAATTGTTAGAATAAATTAGAGCTGTGCAAATATTCGAAAATCTCGAATGTTTAAACTTGAATTTTTTTCTGGATATTCAATTCGAACCCGAAACTAGAAATCTCGAAAAATCTAACTATTTGACCATATTGGCAAAATTTTGGATATTTCAGGAGAAGGACCGAGTATTCCGCATAAAATTCACTTTAATGCAATCTTGCAGTTAATCGCTACTCCAGAGTGATCAAATCGAAGATGAGCTAATCGCAAGGGCGGGAGACACATAGAGATTCGAATTAAAGGAGCTAAGAATATTCCTTCATTCCATTGCTGCAACACAGGAATAGGAATATGGTGCCACAGTGCAGCGCCCTGGTCTTTACAATGTTGCTAGACTGTCAGTGAGAGAGCAGCATTGAGGTAAAGCAAAACTGAATGAAATGGATTATATTGAAAAGTTTACACCTTAAACTTAAATGCCGGAAAAAGATAGTAACATTCTATTGATTCTGTGGCAAAAAATGTAGGTAAATGTCAGGAAAAAAAATTATTTATCCGATTTTTACTTGGACAAACAAAGAAGCTGGTTTTGGTCAAGAATAGGTAAAAATATTCGATTGGAAACTTTTTCAAAATATTCGATTCCATTGAGCATAAACAAAATCATATTTGCACAGCCCTAATAAAAATGGAAATTCCCCCATTCCGAATACACCTCCTTATCAAGGATTCTGGAAAATATTTTTAACCTTGTCAAAAGCTCAAGAACGTAGTCTGCCATGAATTTTGGTAATTGGCTTAGAAGCTTTCATAATATTTGAAAAATCTGGGAAAACTTGAACATGAGGAGAAAATTTACTCAGTCTTCATTATGAAGTTCTATGATCTTCATCTATTTTACCTACCCTGCTGACACTCTAAAGACATACTTAATTCAAACAAATACACAGTTGTGTAAATACCTTTTGTAGCTCCTCAAGTTTGCTCTCTATCTCAACGCGCTTTTCTTTCTCCAAATCTCGCTCCTTTTCGATGGCAGTGAGCTGCCGATCATGCTTGCATACATTCATTTGGTTCATTTCTTTTAATTCATCTATTGTATCCTCCAGAGTCTCAATAGTGACATCTTTGCCTTTCACTTCTTGCTCCAACTTGTGAATCATCGCGTCTTTCTGTTCAATCTCAGCCTCTGCAGCTTCTAGCATCTCACATTTACTCGAGAGTAGATTATTCAGGTCCTCAACTTCTGTCTCATATTCATTGACTAATACGTCTTTGTTAACTAAAGCTTCTTCAAGTTCAGACTTTTCTGTGTCCATCGCTATCAGGTCCTGCCGAGCTTCTTCTAAAAGTTTTTTCAACGCAATGATACTCTGCTCACTCTTTTTAAGTTCTTTTTCTATTGAGAGAGCTTTTTCGGCCTCTCTTTCTGATTTTTCAAATTTTACTAAAAGCTCTGCTTTCTCCTTTTGCAAGGAGGCGATTTCTGATCTCAGTTCAACTTTCTCCTGATTAGCTTTTTCTAAGAGACTCTCCAACTTTTCGGAATCCTGTAACTTCTCTCTTAGATCAGAGCTGCCAGTGGATGGAACTGACGCTCCGCTTTGATCACCCCTTAATTCTGCCAATTCCGCCTTTAAGTTTGCAATTAGATCTCTGAATAAATGTTCCCGCCGGATTCGTTCCTGCATCATGCGGTCACGCATTTCATCCATATGTTCTTGATGCTCAATCATCATTTCATCAATCATGTTGTCTAAAGCTTGCACGGACCGGAGTCTTTCCGCTTCACAGTCAGCACGGATCTTTTGCTTTTCTGCTTCAAAGTCAGCGTAGATCCGATCCAAATCAATGGTGACGACCTCCTCTCTTTCTTCTTCGACTGCTTCCCATTGGATAGTATTTTGATTTTTGTTTTCAAAAACTAAAGTTGAAAACACCGATTTGCGTTTGTTAATTTTTGGCCTTACTGGCTTTCTGGTGATCTGCTTGGCAATGGCAGAGGCTTTTAGTACGAACGCTGTTTCTTCAAACAGTTTAGGTGATGGATTCACATTTACAATCATTATAACATCTTCATGGAATTTCCCGCAGAGCTGACGATGAAATAGCTGTGTCAGTTTTGACTCACGATAAGGAACAATTTCTGGTTTATGAGGGCGTGACTGATTTTCCCTAGGAAGAAAAAAACCCTGATTAGAAATATTTACACATACAAAGCAAGAGAATTGGGGTGCAAAGCAATTTTTTTGTACCATAAAGTCTATAGAAGTTCAACTGCTATTTCATGATTCTTTCATTTCAAACCTCCTGGTGTTTCCTTAATGGTGATAAGTAAATTTTATTGATGGTATAAGTCAAAATTACAATAATTAGAGACAATACTTGTAATACTTTCAAAAATATAATTCCTACCATTTTCTGAGTTGGCACGAGCGGGATTGATGTTCCTGCAAGAAAGAGTTTCCTGTAAAACAGCAAACATGGGCAAAATGTTCCCATGTGGAGTGGTTCCTCACAACCTGGAATACACAGCTAGCAACAGCAGCTATGAGGAAACAGTTGCATACAAGTTTTTGAATGGACATGGAATGCATCTCCTCCGCTCACATTTGTCATATTCTACTATACAGGAAGTATAGTTCTACTATACAGGCCACCACTCTTGCCTTGCACTGATAATTGCCTACTTCAGATAAAAAATTTCATCAAAATCGCGAAAGGCCTGCTTATACAGCGGTGTGACTCCCTGTTCTCCCACTTTCCCTACCTGCAAACCCACTCTGACAATACGTTACTTGGCAGACAAAAAAGCATAACTGCACTTGGAGATGAGCCCGAGAAAGCATTGAGTTATATGGACAACAGAGTTCATCTCGAAGTGTAGTTACATCCTTTTGTCAGGAAGACGACTAATATATAATCTCATTTGCTAACCTAATGTTAGGGGGGTTTTGAGCAGCTAGATTCGGATTTTCAAGATTCTGACATTGCCCAGTTTTCCCCAACTATGATAATCCGGATTTTCTAAATAAGAGAGGATATTTATCGATTTATTTATGAGTGAGGATGAGTTTATTATTAGGCAGGAAAAACTTGTTGAATCTTTGATTCCTTAGGTCTCAAAATGTTTCTTCTGGAAGACACGTGTACCATACACAAATTTACAATGTAGAATAATTACTTACAACATGGTCTTGAAACAGCGGACTAGAACATGGAGAGATGTGTTGATATTTTGAGTCTCTTTCATTCTGTTACCCGTGTTGCCAGTTTTTTCAAGACGTTCAGCACCCGCCAGGTCGCAAATTGAAAAACTTAAAAAGAAGATCAAAAATTATTACCAATAGGCCCCTAGATAAGGTATGAATTTTAACACTTTGCAACATATTATTCTCAAAATTTCACACAGGAAAATAATCACAAAACTAAAATTCTTGAAACCAACTACCAGACAAGACATATTGAATGAGTACATACAATTAACATTAATTAAAAGGCAAAAATACAAATGATGTCATTTGAATGTTTGCTTTTTCATCAACGCCAGTATTATCTTTACTCTTTTGCAGAAATTCACAGAAAATTTCGGGGCAATATGTTATTTAATTTACTAATTAAAAAATAAAACACAAAGAAAATTAGACAAAATTAGATTCAGTTCTGCAAATTCTGCTCAAATCAGTTTATTTAAATACAACTTAAAAAATGCCATTCACTTAAAAGGAAGTAATGGATTACCTGCTAAGTATTGCTTCAGATGGTGCAGGTTCATTATCGCGTTTAATTAATTTAATTGAGAAAACACAGTGACTCCTGCTCGATGATCTGTTTAGATTAGTGCTAGCTACTTGCAAGTTATTCTTTCCGACAAGTAAAACTTTATACGCTTCAATGCCAGATGTGACATGGACATGGTTCAAACCTGCAAAACAAAGATCCGAGAACAGGGTAAGAAAAAAATCAATTGAAGGTGCAAACAGGATTATAGTTGCCCTGTCCAAGAACACTCTGTTGTCAAATGTACTACTGACATATCGATGGCCAAAATCCAAAACCGCGTATTTCCAATGCGGTGGTTCAAAATTTCTGCTATTTGGACAGAAGAAAGAAAACTTTATAGCTTCGATTTAAACAGAATATTCTGCTAACAGAGTGGAAAAAATAAATGAACCGTTACCGTTATATTCATGAATGAGAATAGCTCTTCATGGGTGAGTGGTCAACAAGCTTGCCTTTTATTTTGAAGACTGTCGAGTCAAATTTTATTCATGATCAATTTTTTAATACTTGGATTATACTCCTGGATTTTTATAGGTTTTCAAGCCTTCCAGGTTGTTTACGTTCTACCTCCACTGATTTATAGGCTTTCATTGGCGACTTAAAATTACATTAAAGACTTAATTTAAACCCCAACTCGGGAGGTTGGGTTAAGCGGACCGGTTAGTTATAGTTTTTCGAAAATTTTACTTTTTTTCTGCACATGGTCATGATGACAATCAGTTCTTCTGCCAAAAAATTAATATACAAATGACGCACTCTAAAAATGTAATAATAAATAAAGTAAATAGCAGTTACAGTATCCTCGGCCCACTTACGTTGGCAGTAGAAAGAGACCATTGAAAAGTAAAACAAGTGACCCTTCTAAACAAACAAAGTTGAAGGGGCCGTTCGCAGGTACTTCAGTCGGTATGTCCTACACAGCACACCTCAGAGGTGGTCTCAAATGTATTGCGAGCATTATACTATTCTGATTTGGATAGTTCATGTTCGGGGCACCTCTTCGGAGTGGAGATTGTTGAGTAATGGTAGAAATGCTGCGAAAAGGATACAGTATCGCTGAACCCAGATGCTGTTTCCATCATAATGGAAGGATACTTAAATAGGGACAAATTTAGGAAGGAACTTTAGAGGCCGAAGCCCTAACAAAAAATGGAAGGGGAAGGGAGGGAGAGACAGCAGATTTCAAAGGTGGTGTTTATTTTTACACACCTGATGGTGGTTAAAAATTCGCAGGAAACTGACAAGCAGGCAGGGCGAGGACTTGAGGCACCCAAGGACTCAATCCTCCATCAAAAATTACTTAATGTTAGCCTATGGCAGACTATAAAAAAACTGTAATATACCTTTGACAAATACATTACGGCTATTATCTGTCGCAACTTTCAGAGGGACTCGCTTATCTGATGATGACTGTGGTACTAGTAGATCATACACTTGTTCGTTGTAGACTTCCAGGAATGATACCCAAACAGAATAGAGAACATTTCCTTGATTTGCCACAGACACAGTTTCTTCATCGATGAGCTCTTCCATCTGACTGAATTCGCTAGGGGCTGTGCAACATAAGGAAGAGATAAGTTGAGAAATGAAACATACTCAGAGATGGAATACTAGATTAGATGTCGAGGTTAGCATAGATAAAAAGCACACAAAGGAGGTTGCCGTATACCTTCTTGTCTCATATCAACAAAGAAACCCCCATACCGCATTTGCGATGTTGCAGACTTCCTATCATATTTCATTTTTTAGATGGAGAACTACCAGACAGCGAATTTCTAAAAACTAATGTGATTTTTCTTCTTTGAGCAAAGAGAATTCTGTGAAAACTTCAAGAAATTAAGTTTATTATTTTCTCCATCATGGAAATAAAATACGAGCGGAGATTTCAAAACACCGCAAACAAGATATGCCGTTCGGGAGTTTCACCGTCGATATTCTTTCTCACAACAAATACTTCTTACCGAGATAGAAGGATTAAACAGATGTAGTTGACAACGTTGAGATTTGGGTTAAATTTGTTAAATATTGTGAAAAAAGACCGAAACTTAAGTGATACCTCAGTTGGACACTGACCAGTGTTAACAGGGTCCAATTCCGTCAAATTTAAGTCTTTGTGTTTGCTAGGTCACTAAAATCCCTGGATTGAGAGGAAGTTAAGAAGTTGAAAAAAAAAAGAAAGTGTTGAATAGCTTAAAATTGTTGATTCTTAAAATATTAAGTTACATTTGTGAGACAAGATCTTGAAGGCCAATGTTGATTGATAGACATCCTAATTTCGAACAAATTTGTTGCTACTTGTTCCTCTTTAAATATTCAACGCTAACATATTGACTTCCGCTGATAGCTGTATCAAGTATCTATTAATAATATTTTCTTTCTACACTTGGCCCTTAAATGAAAGCAAGGATAAAAGCAAAAAATTTATTTCATTGATCAAAGTAATTAGTGAGTCTGCTTAAGGATAATTTAGGCTATAATTAAAGGTTTTCAAAATACTTTTACTAAACCGGACAAATGAAATATGCTCTTCAACATGAATCATCCGCTTCCAACTAACCATTGAAAATATAATGAGCATTTGAAATACGCTCTCAAACCAGACTTTACTTGATCAACCTAGTATTGACACTTCAAAAAGGCACAACCAGCAGTTGTGAAGTTTGGAAACCTTGTTCAAAAATGCTAAGTATAGTCTTCGTATTTGCATCTTGTCAGTTTGGCATTGGGGTTTTCAATAGATTTTAAATTGTATCAGTTAATTTTTACACCAAACTTGCCAGGTCTGAAACATTTAGCTGCTTATGTTCTTAGTTACAAGAACATTTTAACATTAAATAGAAGTTAAATTAAGATGAATACCTTGAGAGATGTGCGCAAATGAGGAATTTTCGGTTTGGTGAGTCATGGCAGACTGAAAAAGGTCCGTCTGAAAAATTAGAATGAATGAAGTTAATTTAATGATTACATTCCATTAGTCCAGAAAACAGTTTGACTCGGTCCTTAAATCAAGTTTGCTTTTACAAAAATATCTTCTTGGTGAAAGAGCTCGGTACGTAGGACAGATTCCACTTTAACAAAATATTGCTACAGGTTTTACTCCCAAAAAAAGCAGCACACTTAGCTAATTTCTTCTCTAATATTGATGCACCAATGAGCTACTCAATTTCTTTTGAAAGAATCACCACCACTTCCTATTTCTGAGAACTGAAAAGGAAAATTAGGGTAGAAAATGAGGGGGGGGGGGGCATGACTGCTCTCACAAGAAATTTCTCATCCTTGCCTGCTTTCTCAAAAAAGGACAGGATAGCCGCTGGATTGCAATCTTACAATCTAGTAGTTCTTGGACCACTGATCAATTCAAATGAGACCTTAACAGTTGGAGTACAATGGAGATGTTGCATGTGTGAGGAATTTGCAATTTGACTGTTGATTCTTTTGTAAAAGTTGGCGAGAAACACGATGGTGCCACTGGTTTCCTCTGAAATCAACTCCCAAGCTCAAAAAAAGCTCTCAAGTTGAGGCTAAAATGAAGGGGATATTCCACGCTATCCTGAGAGTCCACCTCTACATCAAGACAAACTCTCCATGCAAAGATAGGGAGCAAATACCTTGACAGGGCTGCCACTTTAATTGGGGACTCTAAAACTGAAAACACGGCATCACTGCTAATGTATTTGCTCCCTATCTTTGCATGGGGAGTTTGTCTTGATGTAGAGGTGGACTCTCAGGATAGCGTGGGATATCCCCTCCATTTTGGCTTCAACTTGAGAGCTTTTTTTGAGATTGGAAGTTGATTTCAGAGAAAACCAGTGGCACAATCGTCTTTCTTGCAAACTTTTACCTAATAAGACTCAATAGTCAAATCACAAATCCCTCACACATGCAACATTAGGGTGCGTCAAAAAAAATGAAAGTCTGAAATGTTCCGCTCCCCAGGCGGCCATCGATGACGTTTGGTAAAAAAACATGTTTGCCAAAATTTGGGCCAATTTCAACCATTTTAAATGGTGCCAAAGGTCAATTTTGTGATGAAATTATGATATTTTGGTTTAGACCTCGATTTCGTACAAAAAACTCGATTTTACGCTGAAATCGTGCGTTTACGA